CACCTGCAGACGCATCTAGTTAAAAGTCCCTTTTCCAACTAGTAATCTAGATGGCAACTAGTCGTGTATCGCCCGATTACAGACGAAATGTATCTAGATTTTTCCCATAGGTGATATTTGCTTGGGCTGAGAAGCAGGTATTTCGATTAGGGGGGAAGAAGGGGAAATTCTCCACCCTGTTTGATAATGAATTACTCAGTTCGAAAAAATTCGCTCACTCCGAAAATTTTGTGACGTTTTTTCTTTTGTTTTTGAGTGACAAGTTACTCAATAAAACATTCCCTCCCTTTGCCAAAGTTATATCGAAAACATTGCTCAGAAGAAACTTTCATCTTCATTTGACTATTCCCTTGACTTTAGTCTAGGGTCTTATAAAATGGTTGTGTGTGTGTGTGTGTCATTTTGACTTAAGTCAAATTCTTTACTTAGCTGCTAAGTCGAACTTAATTTGTGCTTTCTGAAACAGACTTAAGTGAAAAATTAAGTTTGACTTAAGCGGCGCTGGCGGTCAGATATTCTATGGATAAGCGAATCACAAGAGAGAAAAGTATAAAATTATTTTTTACACAAGAGGAACCGAATTCATCAGAAAGAGAAAAACAAACGAAATTAAATTTTTATTTCGGTAAACATAGAAGGAAAAACATTTATTCCAATCAATTGAGTTGCTGAACGTGCAAAAACAATAAAAAAGTTTTTACTAACTTTACTAACGTTACTTTTTGATAAGCGCGTAGTCAATTTCGGATACAATTGATTTATTCAAGAGGACAGTAAAATTTATCAATTCAGTCAAACTTCCGACTAAGGTCTTCCAATATTGCGAAGAGAAAAACAGTTTGATTTCTGAAATTCTTGTCTATTTCTCCCGAATCCTTATAAGGTTTATTGCGGTATGTTGATTTTTTGAATTTGACCAATACAGCAAAAGATGAAAGAGAGAGACATTTGGTTGCGACTGCTCGAGATTTGAGCATGGTTTTGTAGGTGAACTGAGATGTAAGCTATTATAGTAAAGCCGCAGCATGTTTGGTAGTTTGATGAAGTGATTAACTCATTCTCGCTGCCAAAATGACGCTGTAAGTTTGTCTATGTGTCACTAAACAAGAATAAGCTGAGCAGTTGATATGAGTAGAAGAAGTTCCTTTTTATTCGTAACTTGACGTGTACAAACATTGAAAAATATCATTACTGGAATTTCTGCGTATAGATAGCTTGTTCATATCCTTTATTGTCGATCAGTTGAGTAACCATATACTTACCAGTGCCCCATGTGACAATATGATCGGCTACGAGTATTGTTTCTTCACCACATTGACCAGTTACTGACGGTCGCTTGCTTGCATTGCGAGCAAGAACATGAACGGGCGAATGACTTTTCAGGATAAAATTATCTGGAAATTCGTAGACAATCGTGTTATTCATATACGTCCTTCAAAAGTCAAAGACAAGTAAACTACCAAGAATTACTCCGATCTCGGATCAAAGTATGAAGCGAAAGCAAGGTACTCGTTTTGTTCTTTGTGGGATAAGTAGATTTGCAGTAGATCCGTTCAAAATGAAGCATTTCTTATTCTCCAAACAGCGTCGGCCGCTAAAAACTATGCAACGCGTATTATTGAACACGGTGTTTATGAATGAGATGCAATGTACAATTCAGAATCTTTTGGCAAACGGCAATTAGAACAAATTTTTGCGAAAACAGCAGATTTGGGGGTTTAGAATAAAATACAAGACTAACCGTTGGCACTCTTTTGGGTCTGAAATTTGATCGTCTTCCTAGTATCCTCTGATTTTTCGCTTCTCGATGATTGAGAATGATGCACAGTTCTTGTGATACCTCTGCACAAATTTCTTCCACTATTCCTGTATGAGTCTATATGATCTAGGACATCTGCGCGCTGTGATGATAAGGGAGGGTCATTGTCCGAGTTATTTCCATCACTATTGAAATTATATTGTGGTATTCGAGGTCGAGCAAGGCTACGGGATCGTTGAGGCAAAGACAGGGTTCGAGCACTAGCAACATTTGTTTCCAGTGATTGATTAACAATGGAGAAACGAGGAGCTCATAGTGAGGAGCTCAAGGCGGTTTAGTCTGACAAACTTGAACAATATGAAGACCATCTGACCGACTGATGACACCGCGCACCTCGAGACATGTACCCGGCAGAAGTAGAATTTCATCTTCATGATGAAAATACGAATGTTGACTAATGTTCTTTCCATCTGTGATCCCTTCAATGGGAAAAAGCGTTCGCATGCCTGATTTGCCAACAAATTGAGGCTGTCGAAGGACATCCAACGAGCTCGTGCATAAACTGCCACCAGATTTTATTTTGACCTTTTGGATAAAGAGCAGTCAAATCTCCTTTTACACCGCGCCACAATTGACATGTGACCGAACTGAAATTGAAGGAAGAAAACATTTTCTCAATACTCAAATGTTCAATTAATCGTTAGTTACGGAAGACAATTCATTTTTTTAAGCAGAAGTGCAAAAGTTAACCGAATTCTTATATATATATTCTGTGTGTGTTTACTATATATCCAGTTTTATTATAAAAGTGACCGTGTGTATTTTTTATCAGCTTTTATTATCGTATTTTCATTTGTTTTTTATATTTCGATCATTACATTTGGTATCTTCACGATTTTGTATTTGATTCAGGTGAGTGCAGTAGAGACTTGGTGATCTGCTCAGATCCTCTTGCAGACGAGAATCGTGCTATAGGGTAATACTTTTCCAGCTGCTAGAGGCAGTAGGAGACTTGTTAGTCCTTTGAATTGAGCAGCTATCATTTTTGGTGGAGGTGCGGAGTTTTTAGTCTGAAACTTATCTTTTAACACCGAAATCCCTATGTATTAATAAAGTAACACACCACAATATTTGAAAATGTTAAAGTTTAAATGCATAACCCACGGAAATCATTTTTAACACATCTAACACCGAATACATTACAAACTAAACAACAAGAAGAAGAAATCAAGAAAACACCGAATTCATTAGAAAGAGAAAAACAAATGAAATTAAATTTTTATTTCGGTAAACATAGAAGGAAAAACATCATTCCACCCCCGGATCGACCAAACAGAAACTCAATCATAACTGATTTAGATAATTTAAAATGGCAGGATGTAATTCCATTAAATGAAAACAAACAACAGTCAGTCGAAGAAAAACATGACGAACAGACTAACGTTGTTTCAATAGTTCATAATAATGATAACAGTAAACATAATTTAGATGCACTCATAGAGCAAAGGCAAGAGGAAGAAGATAAACTGTCATCTGAAGATGAAAATGATACAAATGATGATGAGAAAGAAACAAATAATAACAAGAAGAAAAAGAAGATTTTGATTTTTTGTATTAAATAATTTCGATCCCTTTGATGGAAAACAAAACGTAGCAGATTGGATTGATATAACTGAAGAAAAATTTAAACAGCACAAGCTTAATCGTCATTATCGTTACAAAGCTGTGCCTTTATTAGTTTCAAGTAACGCAAAAAGATGGTATATTCGTCTCCGAAATAAAATTTCTTCATTTGATGATTGTTATGAATTATTATTTACAAGAATATGATAAATCTTCTACGTCCACGCTCATACCAATAACGTATCAAACAGGAAAACCACTTCCACGCAGTGCATCATTGGATCGATCAACGTTGCATCCATTGACTACTAATACAGATTGATTACGTTATTTTTGACAGTTTTTGACATGACATGTTCCATTCAATGTTTGACTGAGACAGTTTTTCGAGCATTTCAGTCAATACTGTTGCCTCTCCTCTTGCTTTAGATATACTCACATTCGATCTAAACTGATGCCCCGAAATAAAATTCCTGATATTGTCGAAGGTCGTATTGTGGAACTTTTACATCAAGGTCATTCTCAGCCACAAATCGTCAAGGTATTAGAATCCGATGGAATCAAGGTAGCTCGATCCACAGTATCTAATGTTAAAAGAAAGATTGGCCGGCAGCGTAATTCAAAGGTGAAAAATCAGATCAATCGAATGCGTCCAGTGTGAATCCCATCTATTGTCAAGCAAGTTCTTGAAAAAATTGACGTTGAAGATCCACCAACTCAACGAGCTGTTGCTAAATCTCTACACATCAGTCAATCAACAGTGTCAAAAATTATAAAAGAGTCGGGATTTGTTCTACGAAAGAAACGAAAAGTTCAAAAACTTACAAGTGCAAATGTTGAAAAACGTCGTCAACGATCACGTCGTTTTTATCTCCAACTAGCCAATGGCCGATACCGAAATTTCATCACAACCGATGAATCTTGGTTCTATCTCGATGGTACGAGCGGCAAGCGTAAGGTCTGTTACATAAAGAAGTCAGATCCGAATTATGATCGTATGATCATCCAACAAGACAGTTCACGTCCGAAAGGCTTTATGGTGTGGGGTGGTGTATCGTCCAAAGGAAAGACAACTCTTCGTTTTGTTGAACCTGGAGCAAAAGTCAATTCACAATACTATATTAACAAGATTTTAAAACCATTTTTGTCACGCGATGTCCCTCGATTGTTTCCAATAGGTGGAAAAACTCGTCCGACGTTACAACAGGACTCTGCCCCGAGCCATGTCTCAAAAGAAACGATAGCTTTTCTGGAGAAGTGCAAAATTAAATATGTGAAGCCGGAGGGTTGGATGTCAAAGAGTCCCGACCTTGCACCTATGGATTATTCTGTATGGGGATATTTAAAACAACGCCTGAACAAAATCGAAATTGAAACCTTCGATGAACTGAAAAAATGCTTATTGCGTGAATGGAGAAAAACGAAACAAGATTATCTTGACAAGGCATTAGCCAAATAGCCCAAAAGGGTTTTTTCGGTTTACAAGGCTCGTGGCTTTCATATCGAACATCGATTGAAATTGTAGTGCTTTTTGTTTGCTAGTCATATGAGCAATAAAAGTGTCAAAAATAACGTAATCAAGCTGTATAAATGAAACTTTTAAACATCATCAACTACTACATTGTAGTACAGCCTATTTTGGTGCAACCGGCTCCGGCGTGATACCAGTAATGAGTCATAATACGACAGACAGCGATGCAGCTAAGTTTAGCAAAATACCAGTACAATCGTCGTCAACCGAATCATCAATGAATCCAAAATCAAAGTTGACCTTTGGAACAAATAAAACATCTATAAATACTCTATTTTCGTTACCGTCGTCACTACATGAAATCACACCTTCATTAAATCAAACACCAATTGATTTGCGCAAGGCTATTATGGAGAACATGATAAAAAATCCAAAAACGTTTTCAGGAGAAAAAGAGAATATGCATAAATGGCTAGAAGATTTAGAAACACAGTTTGATACAGGCGATATACCAGATAATAATAAATTCAGTATTATATTCTATCAATTAAAGGGTGAAGCATTATCATGGTTTAAAGATAATAAGCAGACTATATTAACACGGAAAGATTTTGCCGACGAATTCGCATCACTGCTGGGCCTTTTAGTACCTTGGTGATAAATATGCATCGGTTGAGTTCTCAGCAGTGATAAATGAAAAGACGAAAATTTTTATAATAGGCGCCAAGACTAATAGGTGTATAAATGTATGAAATAGTAGATTTGATTTTTAACATAGAAAATTTTTGTTCTTTTCCTAAGTTCTCTCTTGTTATATGTGTTATATGATGAAATCGACGATTGTATGTAGATCACCATTGAAAGAAGTAGGAAAAGTTGAAACTTTAATGATCACAAATAAAATCCAAAACTAAATGTACAGTAATTATAGTGATTTTGATTTTGAAGAATCTGATGCAAAAGCTTGTGACCATATTTCTATTAATTACGTTCTGGGTTCTTGTCGGCACCGATTCTCTTCTTTTTACAAGATCACTATTGCGAAGAATAATCAATGGATGACGGATTGGAATTCTTAATTAAACATTCAAGCATAGAAAAGGTTGAAACTCATTCTTCCCGTAAAAGTTGAGCTTTTGCACGATGTTCAAAGCTAAAGACACCTTTTAAGTTGCGGAGCTCTTTTTTACCGTAAAATAATTTCTTAATCGACCTATGCACTTCACTTTGAAACTTCAACCGCTAAAAAAGTCGATTTTTCAATCTTTCACATAATATTTATCGCTTATTGAGTTGTCATTATTGGTAATAACGGTTTATTGCCATAGAGGGAGCTTAAATACTGTATTCAAGTATTTTCTCGAGTCTTGAAGAGAAATTCAAGGCTATCTCGATTAAATTTTATTAGAGTCATAAAGAAAGATTGACTCGGTTAACAGAACAACTGGTATCATGACTATTAGATGTGGAGTGCATAGCCTCAATAAAATTTAAGGCTCCTCTCTCAGAAGTACGAAATTTTTGTAAAAACGAAAGTTTTTTTCTTGTATTCAAACCACTATATGCGGAAGCAGGTGTGATCTCGATGAAGAATAAAAGACCATTAGGTGCAAGTAGTTGTCTTAAATTTATCAATGATTGACAGATATTCATTACTACATGCAAAACATTTGTAGCTAATATCACAATCATTAATGGATTAATCAAAACTAGAATATTAGCGAAGAGGAAACTATTGCGCTAAATATTATGAAACTTGATATCAATTACTGAGACGTCTATTTAAACATAAACTCATAAATTGAAATATGTGGCAAACATATTCCATTTTTCATGTAAATGAAAACACTAATTTCGGTTAAGTTTTTAAACGCTTGGGAAAAATATTATATGACAAATACCGTAATCATATTGATATAAGGAAAAAATATCTTCGAGTGCTAAAGAGAAATATGACGAAAATAACGCTGAAAGCATTTAGGAATTTCCACTTTTCTTACAACGTCAGCAACAAAAATGATTTGATATAGGGATGCAACGGTAACGGTTGACAACCGGTTAACCGTTACCGGTCTAACCGGTTCTGACCGATTACCGTTATGGATCTAACCGGTTAACTAATTGAATAGAGTGATAACGGGAATAAGAAAACAAAGTAGAAAAGAGAAAAGAAAAGAAAATCGCTATTTGTGTCGCAGCTCTAATAGTCCATCTATTTTCTCTCTTGCTCGTGCTAGATATAGTCTATTTTTAAACAAGCATTCACATGTGAGTTCTTAAGGTAGTTTGAGTTACACTGATTGTTCCATGTTAAAAAGTGTTTTTCTTCAACGTTATATTGATTAACAGAGAACTGTGATTAAAGAAACATTTATTTTGTGTTTTGAATTATGTAGTAAATATTCTATTTGTTTTTCAAGTTTATTGCTACCGGTAAGAACCGGTTGGACCGGTAACGGTAACAGGTAAGGTGCGGTTGGACCGGTAACGGTAACAGGTAAGGTGCGGTTGGACCGGTAACGGTAATCGGTAAGGTGCGGTTACCGTTGCCGTTGCATCCCTAATTTGATATGATTGTGAACGCTGTATTTTGTTCTAGAAACTATACCAGAATTCAAGCAGATTTCGCTGTATGTCATGTATTAAACAGAAGGTCCTTTACGAATTAACAGATTGTACGAAATTCTACTGGGATTCTGGTAGATTCTGATGATATTATACTAGAACTCAATCAGAATTCATTGCAGATCATCTTTCACTTAAAAAGGTCCTAGGACGAAGTAGCAGATTCTAGTGAATTCTGGTGTGATTTTGCATTTTCATTTTATAGCAAATATTTTGCTGGCAACTCCGTTACAAGAAAAAGTCCCAAATTTTGAGATGAATCGATCGAATGTTTTCATAACTTAATCGCCATCATATACATGCGGTCTACGCACGCATAATTTTAATTAGAGGTTTTATTTAGCGCTTTCTTTATCTTACGCTTATTTTGAGTACTAAAATCCGTTGAACACAATTTTGATACTTTCAGGTCAAGTAATGGTCTTGTTTTTCCAGATGCTGCAACATTTGATATACCGGTTCTCGGTTAGCGTGGATCGTCAACTCGCAGGCGGTCTATCATTATATCTACGTAGAAGAAAGGTATTCGCTACATATAACGTAATATTACGAAAAAAGAGTTTCAGGCTATCAGTTTTTGAATTCTTCAATATCACTGTGACGATTCTTTGTCACAACCTCTTCTTCCAGTACGTACTTCTGTCGCTAGGGCTACTCCCTTTTGTTTCGTTCTCTCCCTTGTCTGTTTTCGCTATTTCTCGGCTTTCTTCTTTTGCTGTTCTTATCTTTTGTACATGCAGTAGTAAATATATATTGAGTGTTTTTCTTCTGTTAGTTTTAGTTTTTTTGTAGTTTGTGATAAAGAGTAGTCGAATAAAAGAGTGATACTACATATCTTAACGCACGCATACAATCAACTCAAGGGCTTATAACTAAAGGAAATATAAGTTCCTCACACTTGGCGATCTCGTCTTGCCGAACCTTCCGTTCTCCTGTGAAATTTGTATTTTACTTTTTTTTCTATCTTTCTGCCCTGCTAATATTGCCTGGTAAGTCACACTGATTTTTATTATTAGGACCTCTCGGCATACAACTCTGAGCATGCAGTCACTACAAGATTCTTTACAAATCCTTTATAAACAAAGTCGGGCTCAGCTTGGCTTTTTTGACTCCCGCATTCACGAAATCCGTGACAAAATTAAAGCTCTTGCGCCCTGCACAGATAACACGATCGACTTTCTTCGGCTAGAACTATGCGATTTACAGTTGAGACTTCAGCAGGTTCCACTCGATATCCAAAATCAGTCGGAAAGTTTAATTCGAACATTCGAGGATAATCTTCCTGCAATGCGCCGGACCATGTCTGATTATTCCTCCGTACCTTTGACTCCTCCTCCACTTGCTAGTTCATCGGTTTCCGACTCACTTATTGCTTATCCCTCCCTCCTTCACCCTTCTTCCGACACTTCCTCTTTCTATTTCCCCAGTGTGGACTTTTGGGATATGTCAATCGAACATGAACAAGACGCCGCTCCTTCTGATCCTTCATTCGAACTCGGTGATTTTGTCCTTGTGGGCAAGGAACATCGTAAGCTGCCTGCGCGAATTACCCAAATTCGCCCTTGGCAGAACAAATATGAAGTTGAATTCTATGATGGCTGTGACTTTCTTGCACAGCGCTATCTGACCTCGAATTGTTACGTATTTCCTTACTCCATTCAGGATGACTCCCTTTATCAATCGTACACATCGGATATTCCTCTGTCTAACCCTGAAGATGAACGCACTCTGTCAGTAGATGGTGACTCAACTGACCTTCCCTCAACGGAAGCTGAAATAGTCCAACTAGCTCCAGTTTCCTCTTTGCCGACCGATAAACCCCTTGTGTCTACTTCCGATGACTGTGTCGATTCCCTCGCCGGTCTGTCCGACAGATTTTGTGAGCATGATCCATATGAAGTTTTTTGTGCCGCGCTTGCCGATGCAGCGCCCATCCTTGACTTCCATGCTATACATATTGACGGAATCGAACCACTTCCCCTTTCACCCATGCCGGTGCCAGATCTTGTCCCTTTAGAAGATTTATCACTGTCCGTGAAACCGATCGCAGCTCCAACTGGCTCGCTCACAATGGGTTGTGATTCACTGAGTATCTGTGATTGTCAACCCTTTTCGGAACCAATATCGGTAGTTTCACCTATCGTAAGACTCTCCCAACCACAAATCCGTATGTTTTTCAAATCGGAAAGTGCCCCTGATTATGAGTCTGATTCTGCCTACATTTTTCGACTGCACCCAGTTCCCTCATCTAACCTCAAAACGCTGGATTTGATCTCAGTTAGATCTGCGCGGGGTCAAACGTTTTTCCTAGCACTATATCGATATATCCTGACATTTCTATTTGTCTTTGCCTTATTCGGATTGATCATGCACCGTAACCACACTCCACGATCTCTACTGAAACTCCAGCTCGTGGAAGTCCGTCCTCTTCCTGATCGCGTCCCGGTTTTTCCTAATAATTCCTTCCGTCACTGTCTTCTCATCCTAAATTTCCTAACACTACACTCGGAGTTTTGGAAATGGAAGTACAAATAATCTACTCATCTCCGGATATCCGTCTATCTGTCATAGGTTTTCTCGGTTTCACATGGATCTTCTCTCCCCTTATCGTTCGTTTTTTTAAGTATCTCACATTTCGGATACTCATACAGGCGATTACGCCTCCATATCGTCGACAGTGTGATAGTGCTAGACCTCGTTTTTTTTATTCTTTCTGCAGTATCTCACATTTCGGGTACTCATACAAGCGATTACGCTTATGTCGTCGACACTATGATAGTGTTAGACCTCGGTTTCTTTTATTCTTTTTCAAGTAGCCCACATTTCGGGTACTCATATAGGCGATTACGCCTAAGTCGTCGACACTGTGGACGTGTTAGACCTCGGTTTTTTGTATTATTGTTTTCTGAGTAGCCCACACTTTGGGTACTTATGCAGGCGATTCCGCCTATACCGTCGACACTGTGGTAGTGTTAGACCTTGGGTTTTTTTTTTGTATTACTTATTACTTTGGGTTTGCAGTTTGTATGCATACGCCATACGTAACACTTTTTATTTTTGTGCTCGCGCAATAGACTGCACAGACTGTTCCTTTGGCGTTTTCGTGTATCCGCACACGATTTTTCTTTTGTTGTTTTTCTTTATTGTCTTTTGTCAAACTACTTGCACTATGACAGTGTATCGTTTGGCTATTTGAACGATGCATTTACGCGTCAGATCTTGTGTAGAATGGCGCACATATTTTTTTTTTTTCTGCAATTCTACTTTTCGTTGGACCTTACATATTCATCATCTTTACTGATGTTCTCACCTTTTCTGCATTCCCAGCCTAATTCTGGTGATGAATAGTTCCTATCTTTCATTGATGCAACCCCCGTTTTATTCATGAGTCGTTCATAAACATGAATGCACTCTTATCTCCCTCTCCAAATCACTTGATTATTGGTGATAATTTGTTACGTCACGTTCGGGCTACCGATTTTCCTCTTGTTTCTGGCATCGTTCGCCTTAAATCCTACTGGATACCTCAGCCTTCCTCGATACTACATGTCATCCTAATGCTTTACCACCTCGATGTCGCACACCCATTCCTCCTAATACTTGTTCAAGTGTTTCGTGTCGAAGCACGCGTCTTTCCAAACCTCACACTCGTTATTTATCGTAATTGGCCCTCGAGTTTTTGCTCTCGAGTGTTTTTTTTTATTATTTTTTATTATTTTTTATTTGTATTATGTGTATTATATTTTAAGCCATATCCGCCATTAAACCACTCTGTTGTATTCCATTTTCCTCGTTCCCTTCTAATCGTTACCAGTTTTCTTTTATTTCGTGTGTCTGTCTCTGTTCGAAGTCAAGGCCACTGCTTATCGGTATCACATATTCTCAACCATGCACGTTTTCCCACCATACACGCACACCAATTAATCATGATCACAATTGTTTATATCTTCTATCTTCATCAGGTTCCATCTTCACATTTTTCCTTTACAACACCCTGACACTTCTCATCAATCATTCCTTCCCTTATCATCCACCTCATTTAACCTTACATTTTTGGCTCTACGTGTCCAATTTTTCAAGGTTATTTGAATTCCATTCCTCTAAGGCCATCATAGTTTTTTTTTCTTGTTTCTTTTTCTCTTTCTTTCTCTACTCATCAACTCTCTCTCATAATTGTTCACCGCATATTCTTATCCAGTTCTAACCGTTCACTCATCGTCATTATCTTCTACGTTATTTTACAAACGCTTCTTCTCACATCATGCCATCTTCACCTTCATCCATGTCATCAGTGCCTGTCTCCTCCTTCGCTTCTCCACCACCAGTTACAGCTTCAGCAGCTGCCGACGACGTCGACGAACTTCTATTTACTGTCTCGTTTCTCGCTACCATCACGTCACACCTCGCTCAATCCGTTCTGCACCTACAACAAGGCGTTACCGACACATATTTGCCACCCCAATCTTCCCCGAACCAGTCTTACTCGTCACGCATTCACCGCTCACGCGATCTTCTCCTCGACCTCACCGCTAATGCCATAACGATTCACCACCGCATCGTCCATCTTATTCATCTTCATACCACGTCGCGCATTCCACCATCGAACCCTCGCCTCTCCGCAACTTCTCCACCTCATCGGTCATCGTGCATCACGCCCGAACTCATCTCCCTCGATTAAAACATTAAAACCATCATTCCGCGTATGTTTTTTTTTTTTGTTTTTTTTTGTTTTTTTTTGTTTTTTTTGTCTGTTTTTGTTATTTTTCGTTTCTTTGTGATTGTTGTTTTTCCGGTTTCTACCTTCCCGTTGTTATGATTAATTTTTCCTCTAGGTTTTTCCGTTTTTCTTTTCATTGTCTTTGTCATTTTTTCGGTTGTTTGTCCTTCCCTCCATTTTTCTATATCGCATTTTAATCGTGCTCTGTAGGTTTCCTTTTTCAAATTTTTTTTTTATTTTTTGTTTTTTTACTCCTGCTCCGCAGTATCCGCGTGAGGGCACTCGGATCTCGGTGGGGGGGTATGTGACGATTCTTTGTCACAACCTCTTCTTCCAGTACGTACTTCTGTCGCTAGGGCTACTCCCTTTTGTTTCGTTCTCTCCCTTGTCTGTTTTCGCTATTTCTCGGCTTTCTTCTTTTGCTGTTCTTATCTTTTGTACATGCAGTAGTAAATATATATTGAGTGTTTTTCTTCTGTTAGTTTTAGTTTTTTTGTAGTTTGTGATAAAGAGTAGTCGAATAAAAGAGTGATACTACATATCTTAACGCACGCATACAATCAACTCAAGGACTTATAACTAAAGGAAATATAAGTTCCTCACAATCACGTCATCATAAATCTGCATTGCAGACTTTTACATTTTTTTTGTAACTGAAACGTGAAAAGCGGGCAGGTAACTGACTGTGAGCGGTTCAGTTTTCAACTGAATAAGTTGATTTACTATTTTTTCTTTCACTTATGCTTTCAAACATCTTATCATCAATTCTCGCTGCAAGCTTATCACTTTCTTTAATTTACATATATGCAGGCATATATTGGTACATGTGTAACTGAGCTCATGATCACTTGCAATTTATTTTTAAACCAAAATAAATGAAGAAAACGAATTGTGGTTTTATTGACGATTTGTGTAGTGAAGTATGACTCCAATTCAAAATTTTAACACTTGGAAAGAAGTTTATGAATTATGTATCGAATGTTTAAGCCTATCGAAAAGGACTAACTATTTATGTCTATCAATAAGTAGGTGATTAGCTGTCATTTGAATTGCTTTAAATAACGATGAATTTTCGTCTGTTAAGCTATCGGCTACAAGTGAAATATATTCATCTAAGGCTTGCTCATTGTCGTTCCATATGTACGGTTTATCATGATTAATTGGTACTTTAATAATTTCACGTATTGGCTCATAGGTTTTGATAGTGTTAGTTGACAATAAATTTCTTGCATCATACGTATTACCTAATGATTTGCTTCTTAAATCAACACCCTGTACAAATATTAAGAAAGCAATTGAAATTAATTGTTTCATTGTTGATACTTAATGCCGAGCTAAATTAGCTGAGACGTGACCCATTGAATTAATATTTTGATTATATTGTTCAGCATGTGTTGAATATCTATCGGCGATCGAGTTACCAAAAAATAATAAATATGGCATGATTGAATTAGCACATAGTTGTAAACCTTTTACACCCATATTCACTTCTCTCTGAGGATTACTGATTAAACAGTCAGGCAAACCATTACTAAATTCAGATGCTACAATTTGAGCGATTTGAACTTCCGGCATATAATATGATTAAGTCAAAGCTGAGCGAGACGTGTTTTTAAATAAAATTATTGCAAAAAGTTTGTAGGTAGTCAACTCATCCCTGCAATTTTTTCGGAAACATTGTACGAAAGGAGTGTTGATTTATGTGACGAGTAACTAGATACTTTTCATCCTTTTCGACAGACTGAGAGTGAATGAAAGCATGAAAGTCTTCTCAACGCTCCCATTCAAAGTCAGTTTCCGCTTACACGGGTAACAGAAATCTGTTTTTTAAGAAAGGCACAATTGATATTTGCTTTCATATTTTAGACTTCTAAGCGATCGATTTCGTGCAGTGAATAGCACTATTAGCCTATCACTGACCGAATTCTTCGTCAACTTTTGATAGAATAGCATCACGGTCAGTGATGTGGTTTTTCGTTTTATTCTACATTACTATGATTCATTTACCTGAAATGTCAACTGAGAACCAAATTTCGCATGGACTAAACAGAACATAACACTTGCATTTGTGAATGGGAATGAGAAGGAACAGTTGGAATTCCGTCGAATATATTTTGAGTGGTTTAAGTGCACTCATCTTCATTTCACAGAAGTAGCATTACATGATGGTGCTGATATTCGGGTTGGATTTCGATTGGATAAAAGTCATAGTTGGTCGTTGATTGGAACTTTATCGACTGATTATTCTGTGAAAGTTTCATCAGGAAAGGTATACCATGATTATCGAAAAACTAGTGATCCACCGCTGGTCATCGCATCTCTAGCGAGGCAGAAAATTTTACACGAAGGTGGCCATTCGCTTTCACTAAAACATGAACATGCGCACGCACTGGTAAACATCAGCTGGAAAGAGAGTTTTTCGAACGGATCGATGTTTCCACATATGTCAGTTGATTTTATACGATCAAATTATCTTCGAAAATTACCCTTGAACCGAAGCCAGGATCCATTCGATGAGTGAGTCACAAGCGAAATTATGTTTCCCATCTATGTAATCGCGAAGTATTAGAAACACAAAGGGAGCCATGAGTTAATGAACTTCGTATCCAACTTTATGGATTTTTTATGACCGAGCACGTTTTGTTTTGTGTTTTACTAGATTCAACCGTCAGTCTTTTGCCAAATCCGCATCATAAGTATATCATATGTCAGCAAAGGAAAAAGAGAATGAACTCTAGACTTAAATTCTGAGAAAGTTTGACATGTTTTTATATATTTGTTAGTATTTTGGAATGGAACAAAAACTAGCGAGATCCACGTTTTCATTTTTTACCCCAAAATGTCTCTAATACCAGGTTTTTTAACAAGATTCTCATGAGTATAGGTGTATTTTAATCGAACCACGTGGGTTTCGCTGAAGTATTATGATTTTGAACACATTCGCACGGCAATCGATGTATGGTGATAGGAGCTCATCTCAGAATTCTTAGAACCTTATTGAAGATCCGCCCAAATCTCAGAAACCGAAGATCTCCTTTTTCTCCCTGAAACATTTTGAACAGACACTTCTGTTCACCGAGATAATTTTTTAAAGTTTTAAAAGATTTACATCGAAGATCTTCATAGTAGTCAAATTCGTATCCTCGATATTTTCTCATAGCATACAAACATGCAAATACTTCAAGAAGTATCCTTTCAACAAGTAACGCTCGTCGGGGCAACTCAGTGGACCCTCAACTGAATCGGATCTCATTATTCCTCCTCATTTCTTTTTCAACTTTGTGTTTGAGATTTGTTGGTACTTAAATTCACGTTTACGAAAAAAAACTAATGATTTCGATGACGAGTACTTTCAAAAATACTTGAACCTGTCAAGCATAGAGTAACATATACTGTTATGGTGTATTACAAACATCTCGCACTTAGTCGAGATGTTTGTCGTGGACGTTCCTTCGGTCCACCACTCCTAACTGCTCCGCTTCTTTTATCATATAGATAGAGCTCAACCTGGCATGGCAAGGTACAATGTCACTTTCATGAAATCAATCATCGAACTTCGAAGGGTTAAGTGTAAGATGATAAAAAAAGTCCTCTCCAAAACATTTATAGCAGTTTGCTCGACTGTTTTTGGATATTTTTAGTCATCGTCAACTACTGAACCGATGTCATTGCCGGACTTCCTTAGACATCTTAGAAGAGTACCTGTCATGGAAACTTATCAATGTAGTTCCTTTTCGGTCGTCGGCGTCCTTTCGGTCCGCCACTCCCGACTCGTGCCTGCTTGTCTCCAGTTTTCACTATTTTCCAAACTGCTTACAACTTTATCCGATAATCTATTAAACGAAGCAGTGTCCTTGGGAAAGCGACAACATATTAGACTTTCCTTAGTCTAAAACTCTTTGCAAAACTTTATAAAAAATCAAATCTTGAATCAAATGTGAAGACAGTGTATTGGCATAGTAAAGCCTGGTACTGTTTATGAACTATCAGTTTGATGTTTGCTCTCGTTCGTCAAATGATTCAATTCAAACAAAAATAGTTCTCGACAACAATATCTCAGGTCAGATCCAATTCTTAACGATCCGTTATAGCTTAGATTTCTCGGTCTTGGAAGGAAATTGAAGTTACATTGAAATTTCTCGAATCATGTTTCCGTAAAATACATACTGAATTTCGTAAAGACATGCTTAGAAACTTTCTTGGTTAACCTTTTACCCCCCTGAACAATTCATTTTCTGTGCAAATATCGAAACTCAATTGTGAGCTAACAAGACATTAGATTATAAAAACTTTCAAAACAAAATTGGTCGCTGTGTCAAGAAAAATCTGTCCATTTTTCTCAATTTTTCACGAAGATATTTCTATCTGAATGTGGTTTTGATGAATGAGTCAAAAATGACCTTTCAGGGTGGAAAGGGTTAAGTCTACCATAGAAGCGACTAGTCGCTGCCACCTTTAGGTACAAAAGTAAGAGTGTACGCATGTTTCATACAATGAAAAACCGATATTGAAAACTAAGCAAACAAAACTATATGTAAGATTACAAACTATCTTTGACTTCATCAGATCCGTGCTGCAACTCAAGGTGCTTCATCATGTTTTGAGAGTCCCCTTTAATGCAAAGGAAAACTCCTAAACATAATCAGAGTTAATGATGATTGATTAATTAAACTTAACCAACTCTAACTAGTTTTAACAAACTACAGCTATCGCTGATTTCTAATCGTTCACTGCTAACTTTAATCAATGTTCTTTTACCTTTGATCTCGATGCAGACACACAAACTTTTTAGTTTTATATTTACTAACGAACTCTCATACTGAAACGGTCTCAATGGCTTATTTCGCATCCAAGAAAAGGTCTGACTGTTCTTCCCAAAACATCCAAAACCATACCTATCTCACTTATCAAATAAATCCAAATTACTATTTGGACTGTCCGCCCTGAGAGAAACCTGAAATCGACTTTTCTCGTGTAAGTTATATGATATATTAATAGAATACTGTTTTTCACCGGGTACAGCACTTGTATAATACTGCTTCTAACCTCAGTAACCTACAAGTGTCATAACCAGCAAAACAAAACCAGTGTATTAATACACCATATAACTGCTACGAGGAAACTGACCGACGTCTTCAGTGCCGGCCGCTAGGCGATCCCATTCCTTTTAATATTACTTTCAGTTCCACTTATAGTTCAGGATCATTCGAGAAAAGTTAAACCCATGCCAATATAGATTCTTCCCCGTTAATTAAACGCTGAAGACAATCTTAAAATCAAAAAAATCCAGTTCTTGAAAAACACTTACCTATTCTTCATTAAAATATCACAGTGAACTAAAACTAAAACAAAACCATTCTTTGCAAAAGCCATATTTACTTTCAGTTAGAAATGAGAATTAACCTGAAACTAAAGGAAAATCATTCTTTGCAAAAGAATCACTTACTTCCCATTAGAGATAATAATCAACTTAAAAATAAAAAAAATTATTCGTCCCAAAGAATCATTTATTTACCAATCGAAATGAGACCTAAACTAAAACCAAAAGAAAATCTTTTTTTTTGCAAACAATCAATTACTTTCCATTGAAGATGCATATCAACTTCTAGGGGTTTTTTCTTGAGGTGTTGCCAACTTGAGACTAGTGCGATTTTGTAGCCCATGGTCGACTGAGTGGATCGGCACTAGTTTGGCTCCGACGTATGGCCGACACCCCAGCAAAAAAATTTAAAATATAAAATGCAGCAAGATAAAGGAGAAAAATCATAAAAATTAAGCGCTGACGAGTTTCGAACCTCGACACTCGCTTTTCGTGGGCGTAGTGTTTAACCTATTTTGCCATCAGCGCATATCAATACATAAGTATATTTCTCACTTATTCTGTTCTTTTCCTCACTGAAGTAGAAGGGAAGAAGAAATATGTATACTTTTTAAAGCAGCATAATGTAATCTCTTTAAGATCAAACTGCAATCTGTTTTACTCGACATTTGTCTTCGAGAACAGATCACACGAAAAAATCAGACAAGCAAGGAAAGTTGCATTCTTGTTTCATGTTCTTTCGCTTGCTTCTCCAATAGTCGAACAAATTTATTTAACTTTATTCAAAAGAAATCAAAAGGAATTCGATTAAACCTCAACTCGACTACTAAAAATATAATCACTGTTGAAAGTTATTCATAAAGACAGTGCACACAGTCAGCAGTATTTTGGACTTTACACTGTTCACATGTGAACAGTGTAAAGTCCAAAATACTGCTGACTGT